AGCCTTGTGGCACAGTGGGTTAAGCCAACACTTGGGACATCCACATCCCACATCTGAGTGCTGGTTAGAGTCCCAGAGAATGCAGCCTCAAAAGCAGCAGTTGATGGCTCAAGTGCTTGGGCCCCTGCCACCTACATGGACACTCAAATAGAGTTCTAGGCTTCTGACTTCAGTCTGGTTCAGCCCTGGCTATCGCTGGCATTTGGGGAATGAGCCAGCAGATGGGAGGGTGCACACTCTCATTTTCTCTCTCTGTCTGCCTTTCTAGTAGGTGAAAATAAATAATTTTAAAAAAATGTTCCAGTGTCTCAAAGCCACCACACTGCAGACCAAGCTTCTAGAACATGAACCTTTGGGGATAGTCCACCTCCACACTACACAGTATGCAAAGTTATTGTAATACATTTGGAGTTATGTTAACAAAGCCCAATACTGCAAGACCATTGTATAAGACACGGTTGGTCTTTTACAGATTGGTCACTTTTATTAACATTTGTAAATAAAATGTATAGTGCATCAAATTTGTCATTTGCTCCTGTTATTATTTAAGATTTTCTGGCAGAACTAAAAACACAAATAAGCAAACTTAATCCCAGTAGTTAATAAGATTCTTAAACATCTTGATATTTATGGCCAGGAATGATTTACTTTGTCAAATTTATAGTTTGTTTAGATTTTATTTTCCTGATTTGCATACTAGCTTTGTGAATTGAGCAACTGGTTTAATTTACCAAGATTATGCAAATTATGCTATTTAGCAAGGCCTTTATAGGAAAAATATTGTGAATCACTGGTTTATTTAAGTTTTCAATTCTGTCTCTTATTTTGGGAATCTACATTACAAATCTTGAAATTAGAATTGTTAGTTTAATAACTGTTAGTTTCCTGACTTATTACATAGTGTTCTTTTGTTTGTTTGTTTCTGTTTTTTATTACTTGGAGATTCCCACGTGTGAGCTAAGCAAGGTTCTTTGGGACTTCCTTTTATTAAGAGGTAGAGAAAGGGGGAGGGAAAGAAAAGAAAACATGGAGTCTTTCCTAGGTTGCTAGTATATCAGAGGTTTCCCTGAAGTATACTTAGTTTTTGTGTTTATGTTCTTTTTTTTTTTCTAGTTAGGTGAATTGCTCTTAAAGTTATTAAATTCTGGGGCAGGCATTTGGTGCAGCAGTTAAAACACCACTTTGGATGCCTGTCTCTTGGGTTCAAGTCCCAGGTCTGCTTCTGACTCCAACTTCCTGCTTTTAAGCACACACCCTGAGAGGCAGCAGGTGATGGATGAAGCACTTGGGTTCCTGCCACCTATGTGGAAGGCCCAGAATGAGTTCCACATTTCTGATTTTGGCCTGCTAAGCCCCAGCTTTTGTGGGAATTTGGGCAGTGAACCAGCAGATGGAAGATTAGCTCATCTCTAACTCCATCGTTGCCTCTATCTATCTCTGTTTCTCTCTCTCTCTCTCCCTCTCTCTCTCTGTGCCTTTCAGATAAGTAAATAACTTTTTAAACAGTTCTTAAATTTTATTCAGCAAGCATACATAAATATCGAGAAGATAATGCTAGTCACAAAAAGTGAAAATAAGCTGATGAGTTTACATACTTAATATCATGTGGTAAGCTCTTAATGAGTAACAGTTACCATGCCAAGAGATTCTGTGCTATGATGGTTTACAGACTTCCTGGTCATTTGCACTGGAATTTGAATTTTGGCTTCTTAATAGGTCAGTGAATTTGAACATAGTACCTTAAATTTCATACCTGTAAAATGAGGTATAAATACACCTCTCATAGGGATGTTGTAATGTATTCAGCATCTAATATTAAGTAGGTATATAACAGACACTCAATAAATGACTAGTTTGGGTCTGGCATTGTGGCACAGTGGGTTAAGCCACTACCTACAATATTGGCATCCCATATCAGAACTCTGGATCTAGTCGTGGCTCCTGTGCTTCCAGTCCAGCTCCCTGGTAATGCACGCAGGAAAGCAGTCGAGAATAGCCCAAGTGGTTGGGCTCCTGACACCCATGTGTGAGACCTGAATGGAGTTCCAGGCTCCTGGCTTCTGCCTGGCCCAGCACTGGCTGTTGTCATCTCGGGGAATGAACCAGCATATGGAAGATCTCTTTTCTGTGCTTCTGCCTCTTCATCTGTCACTCTGCCTTTCAAATAAATAAATATTTTTTAAACCTAAGGTTTAAAATAACTTGTTTTATTGTGATGTTCATAGTAATAACTTACTGAGCACTCATTATCATTGGTCATACACAAGACCCTAGATTAGATTGTAATTCTGAGACCAGATTGATATCCTACATCTATTAGAAGACTACTTTTTTTCTGTTAGACAATATGTTTAACTTTTATAGACTGAGTGTTATAGGCTAATCCTAACAAAGAATTCAAGGAGTTTGGGGCTGGCACTGTGGTATAATGGGTGAAGCTGCCACCTACAGTGCTGGCATCCCATGTGGGTGCCTGTTTGTGTCCCAGCTGCTCCACTTCCAATCCAGCTTCCTGCCAATGCACCTGAAAAAGCAGCAAAGGCAGCCCCAAGTGCTGCTTACTAATATACCTGGGAAGCAGCTGGTGATGGTCCAAGTGCTTGAGTTCCTGTCACCCAAATGAGAGACCTGGATAAGTTTCTAGTTACTGGCCCAGGCTATTGACAGCATTTAGGAAACAAGCCAATTGGTGGAAAATCTTTTTGTCTCTCTCTGTTACTCTGCCTTTCAAATTGATTTAAAAAATAAACAAAAAGAAAAAGCAACTGGGGCTAGCATTGTGACGCAACTGGTAAAGCTGCCACCTGTGACACCTGCATCCCATATGTACATGGGTTCATGTCCCAGCTGCTCCACTTCTGATCCAGCTCCCTGCTGATTGCCTGGGAAAAGTACTAGAAGATGTCCCAAGTGTTTGATCCCTTGCACCCACATAGGAGACCCAGATGAAGCTCCTGGCTTTGGCCTGGTCCAGGGCTACCCATTGCGGCCACCTGAGGAGTGAACCATTGGGTAGAACATCTGTATGTCTGTCTCTCTGTAACTCTTTCAAATAAATAAATCTTTTTTTAAAAAAAAGAGCAGTTGGTTTTATAGAAATGATATAAACACCAGAAAAAGCTCAACAGCGAAGTTATGATAGAGTATGCTGCACTTACAGATAACACTGTGCCTCAGTGCTTGGACACTGGCCAAGCTTATTATTTCTAATGATGTCATCTCATGTCGGTCAGAGTGGCTGCGCTCTACATACTCCTGTATGGATTCAAGCTGACTGATGCTCTAACATCTCAATTCTTAGCCTATATGATAATTCAGTGGAGGAAGAGAGAACTGGAGTTTTGCCCACCAGTCTTACATGCATTGGTTCTTTCTGGTCCAGAAATGACAGACATCATTTCCACTTGAGGCCCGTTAGAACTAATTATGATGGCCACCTGACTGTGAGAGTCTGGGGCATGTGGGGAGAACACGTAGATACTTGGTGAGTGTAACTGCTTCTGCTACATAACATAGGAGCTGACTCTAAAAAGATAGCTGGAAATCAATCTGATGCCTGAAGAAGGAGGAGATGAAAAAGAAATTATTTTTCTGCTGTTGAAGTAATCTTTGGAGTAAAAATGTGATATTAAGGAAGTTAACAACTATATCCTCTTAAATGTCTGGAAGCTGGAACATAGTGTATAAAAATCTGAGAGCTGGGGACCAGTGCTGTGGCCTAGCGGGTAAGGCCTCCGCCTGCAGTGGCAGCATCCCAAATGGATGCTGGTTCGAGTCCCAGCTGCTCCACTTCTGATCCAGCTCCCAACTGATGCACCTGGGAAAGCAGCAGAAGACCTAAGTACTTGGGCCCCTGCACCCACGTGGGAGACCTAGAAGTTCCTGGCTCTTGGCTTTGGCCTAGCTCAGCCCCAGCCATTGTGGTCATTTGGGGAGTGACCCAGCGGATGGAAGGTATTCTCTCTCTCTTTTTTTCTGTCTGCCTTTCAAATAAATAAATAAGTCTTTAAAAAAAATTATGAGAGCCTGGATTAATCCCTGACATGGCTATATAGCTGAATCTTGTACTAGTAACATGGTCTTACTTATAATTATAAAATATATATTATCTATTATGAATTTTATAGTGGAAAACGTGACTACATTGTGCTATAGGAAGCTTACTCTATGAACTGTATCTAACGACGCTTAGATACTTAAAAAAAATTCCTGTTATGTATAAAGTGTGATCACAGTGCTTAGAAAAAATACTCTGAAGAATTGTTTTACTTGAACTCTCAAGTTATCTATTTGTCTGTTTGAGGGATAGAAAGAGACAGCTGAGAGAGAGAGACAGAGCTGTTACCCTCTGGTTCACTCCTCAAATGCCTCTGACAGTTGTGGTTGGACAGCAGGAACCCATTTACTTGAACCATCACTGTGCCTCCCAGGATCCTTATCAACAGGAAGCCAGAAGCAGGAGCCACAGCTCCATACTGAACCCAGGTACTCTGATATGGGACGTGGGCATCAATTGGCATCTTAACTGCTAGGCTAAGTACTGCCACTGAACTTTCAAAGTTGTATCAAATGACAGGAAAGCCTCAGGGAATCAATCTATGAATTGCATACCTGTTAATTATTAAGTATATTTCTAAAAATCACAAAAATTGTATTAAAGTAGCAGTTAACATTAATGGACTGTATACCATGTGCAGGGAATAGTGCTAATCATTTCATATGTACTATCAGTATTAAATCTCACAATATTCTGTAAGGTAGGTACTATTATTAGTGCCGTTTCCAAACTTTCTCAATTTGTAAGCATTTAGATGATACAGCTCTTTTATACTTAAGACACTTCAGTCCTAGAAAAGTTAAGTCAGCTGTGCATGTCAGTTATATCTGTCTATCATGTATCATAAGATTTAAATGTTACAAATGTTTGTGTTTTCTGCAATAAAATAATTTATATGTAGGTTGCAGGGATTATGCTGCAATGTTAACTTTTCTGTTTTTAGGGTTTGGACAGAGGAGCCAAAGGCCAAATTTCCACTTTCAGCAGTTTTGTTTCAACTGTCAGCCAGAAGAAAGAAGCCCCTGAGAACAGAAGTTCACCTACACATCTTGTTTTCCCTAACATCAAGAATGGTAATAGTTGATATATCTATTATTTATAAAGTAGAATTTTAATTATTCAGTATTGTTCTTGTAGTTTTAGTTAATACAATGAAAAAGAAATAAGCTACATAAGGTATTTTTAGATGATTGTTATCTAGAGTAAGAATATGCAGTAAAACTCATGAATAATAAAGTTTACATAGAGAGCTAGTTGTAACATTAATACAATAAAGTTTAAATGTCTATAAAATATATATTTTAGTATAATACAAATATACATTCAGTAAATTTCCAGTAGTCAATCAATAATCAATTATAAGTTGACAGAAATATATGATATTTAGTATTTTTTCTAAGGAAATAAACATAAAAGGAAATATATAAAACCTATACAGAGAAAACTATAAAATGAGATCAAAAGACTAAAAGGTTTAAATGGAAAACTTATTAAGTTTATCCACTACAGTCAATAATTTTCAACATTTTTGGAGAAACTTAACAGAATGATTCTATATTTGATCTATAAGAATAAATGTTGGCTGGCACTGTGGCTCACTAGGTTGATTCTCTGCCTGCAGCGCCAGCACTCTGGGTTCTAGTCCCGGTTGGGGCGCCGGTTCTGTCCCGGTTGCTCCTCTTCCAGTCCAGCTCTCTGCTGTGGCCCAGGAAGGCAGTGGAGGATGGCCCAAGTCCTTGGGCTCTGCACCCGCATGGGAGACCAGGAGGAAGCACCTGGCTCCTGGCTTCGAATCTGCTCAGTGCACCCGCCGTAGCGGCCATTTTGGGGAGTGAACCAAAGAAAGGAAGACATTTTTCTCTGTCTCTCTCTCTCTCACTGTCTAACTCTGCCTGTCCAGGAAAAAAAAAAAAAAAAAAAGAATAAATGTCTCTGAGGATGTAAGAAAAAATAATGAAGGTACCCACTTCCCCATAATGCCATAAAAGCTATATTAATGATAGTATTGCCACTGAGACAAAGACAAAGCCAAATAGATGGAGATAGATAAGTATAAAATATTTAAGTGGCATTAAATTATTCAAAAAGTTGAATTAGGTCAACTACTCAAAAATAATAGTTATCCATTTTTTAAAAAGTAAATAAAAGTAGAAGACAATGCACATACTCACCAACCCAGTAATTCTATTTCTTTGAATTTAGGCTGAGGAAATAATGTAACAAATGTACAAAGACACATGGAAAGGATGTACATTATTTATAATAACAGTATTTGAAGTTAATATAAATGGATTGGTTGACTAATATGTTAATTCATATTATAAATATTCTGCTTCCATTAAGAAAAATGTAATAATGTATGTAAAGTGACTAGAAGAAATGCCCATAATACATTGTAAAATGAAAATGCAAATTATACAATTATAGGTAGATATATAGTTGTGTTTTTGTTTTTTTTAGTGGAGGGAAACCTTTTGTACTTTGAGCGTAGAAGGATGCCCACCAATCTTTAATGTTAGCCTCAGGAGTTGGGACTGGGTGTACCTTATTAATGTTTTTATATAACTACATTTTTTGATCACCAGAAACACATATTGCATGCTTTTAAATACCTTTCACCCTGTAACAAGACAAGACAAAACTGCAAAGGTGTAAATGCCTCTCATACTTCATCAAAAGAAAGAAATCTAGAAAAATTAAAGAGTTTCTGGTAAATTACCTGTGTTCATAAGCTCTATGTGGCATAAATAGTTCTTGCACAGATTTTCTGTTTGACAGTCCTAAGCTAGCGCTAGACCTACTCTCCAGTCTTACAGGTTAGTATTTTACTACCTCGTGTATGGATCCTTTATCGTTGATGGTGTTTTGCTTCCTTTTCTTATTTACACACACACACATTCCATCACACCCAGGAAAATGCCAGTACTTGTGTGCCATGGTGTCACAGTTCCCCCAGCCCACAACAGCACATCAAACCTCTAACCATGGTTTCATTACAGAAAGAGAAAAATAAAGAAAATACACCAGAATTTAAGAGAGGAGTTAATAATTATTTCTGTTTTGGACATATTTGGACTAGATAAGAACTAGTAACTTTCATTTGATTAATATTTAAAATTTGGAGAAGACTTTTAAAAATATTCTTTTGAACCTCACAACGTTGACATAAGATGGAATAGATATTAGAATACCTATTTTATTAGTTGTATTAGTTTTCTATTGCTGCCTAACATATTAATGGCTTAAAAGCAACAACCCATTTATTATCTCACCATTCTCTAGGTCAGAAGCCTAGTGGATGTGGCTGGGTTTTCTACTCAAGATCTTACAAGGCTGATATCAAAGCATTCTTTGGACTGGGCTCAGAGCAAGAATCCTCTTCCAGTTATCTTCAAGTTGTTGGTAGAATTCATTGTGTGATTGTGAGACTGTTGTCCAGTTACCTTGCTGATTGTCAGTCAAGAGATGCTCTTAGCTCCTAGAGGCCATGCACAGTTCCTTGCCGTGGGCCTTCTCATGGACCTTATAGAATACAGAAGCTTACTCATTCAAGGCCAGCAGCAGGATCTTTGTATCAAATTCTCTTTATTCTAATCTCTCTGACTTTCTCTTCTGCAACTAGTGAGAGAAAAGTCTCCTAAAGGGCTTGTGTTGTTTAGGTTTTGCCTATCTGGTTAATGTCCCCGTTTTAAGATCACATTTATAGTTACTGGAGTTTAAGAACTTCCACATATATCTCTTTCCTAAGTTAGGAACCTTAAGAAAATGAAAATATAGGCCTATGGAGAATGACAGGGACTTAAAAAGAAATAGATAGCCATAAACTTCTTTGGACTTTCTGTCCAAATACCTTAGCTTTTTATTCTGCCTATCAATTTTCCATCTTTACCATTCTATCTACACTGTTATTTTGATCTCTGAACTCAGCTTGCCAACCTACATGCTAGCAAGTCCTTGAGTGAGCATACTGACTCTGGATGTGATCCACCTATTTGAGCTCCCACCACTTGAGTGCTTCTCTCTCGTCTGTGCTAGCCCTATGGAATCTTGACTCAGCCCCTTGTTGTATTTATGCTCATCATCCTAAATGAACAGCTCCTTAGCAGACTTTGGCTACCTTATTAGAACTCCTGTTGCTGACTTCTAGCTTTTCTCTGGATGCCACCTAAATTCAGGTGTGACTTGGAGTTGTCTACCAAAGGTCCTGCAGGAAAAAAGTCCTTATTGAATGGGAAGTTAGAGTAAGTCTTCCCAATGGAAGCATGTTTACAGTTCCTTGATCTTTTGGAAAGTCTTTCTTACTTGCCAATAAAATTGTTTCTTCAAAGATACATCATTCTTGGCAGTTAGAATTTTCCTCCCTCTTCTCTGGTAGTGGGACCCATGCTGGCCATTCTCTAACAGCTTTTCTCCCTGTCTGATCTCCAAGTGGTATTAGCGAAGCTACAAAAGCCCAGCGTGGGTTTACCTAACAGCTGAGGGATGCCTTTCCTCCTTGTAGAGCACATAACTAGGTATGCCTGTCAAGTTGGCTGATCTTTTAAAGATCTGAGAAGTGTAGGCGTTTTACCTACTATAACAGCTGCTAAGGATGATACATCTTCAGAGACACAATGTAGAAGATAAGTAATAGAGAGGAGGTTGCACTACATTCTATCTTCCATTTTTTAAATTTAAATTTTCCTTCTAAAGTTATTATGCCCCTTTTCAGACTTAGATGTTTCATAGAACATCTTTATAAAAAAATAAAGCAATTACACAAATCATTTTAAATGTCTTTGCAAGGGAAAAATAAGGTGGTCTTCAGCTCAAATAGTGATTGAATCTATGTATGGGCCCTATGATCTATTTGCAGGTAAAGTTCCCCAGGGTTTTATAGTTTCTCTAAGAGCAATCTGGGGGACACAGTGGGAAACAAGCTGTTAGAACAAACCCATGGTGAGAGTGAAAGACTTTATGTGTTAGGATTCCTTCCTGAGAAGTGCTTTCAAGGCCTCAAATGACCCCCTCTGCAGGTTTCCTTGGAAAGTGGACTGATTTTGTACTAAATCACCAAGCTCTTTCTCTAGGTCAGAGTAAGTACTTTGGATTTGGTTTTTCTTAACTATTCCTTTGGGAGAGGTTTATCTATAACAAATGTAAATTATTTTTGCTTCAGTTATTTGTCTGTTTCTCTGTCTTTACTAATCTTTGCTCCTGCAGCTTTTATTTTGGAGAGGAAAAGGGCTATCTCTTCTTTGTATATATTAAAGTTATACATTGTGGCATAATGGGTTAAGCCACCGCCTATGAGGCCAGATTCCCATGCGGGCTCTGGTTCATGTCCTGGCTGCTCCACTTAGATCTGGTTCTCTGCTAATGGCCTGGAAGATAAGCAGCTGATGTCCAAAGTAGTTGGGCCCCTATACGCAATAGGGGGACCCAGATGAAACCCCTGGCTTTTGGCTTCAGCTTGGCTGAGCCCTGGCCATTGTGGCCATTTGGCGAGTAAACCAGCAGATGAAATATCTCCCTCTCTCTCTCTCTCTCTCTCTGTCTCTTCCTCTCTCTAACTGGCTTTCAAATAAATCTTTTTTTAAAAAGGTTAACTTTCTAAAAAAAATATGTATTTGAAACACAGAGTTATGGATAGAGGAGGAGAGAGAGGGAGAGAGATTCCATTGACTGATAAACTCCCCAAATGGCTGCAAAAGCCAGGTCTGGGCCAGGCCAAGAACCAGGAACTCCATCCTGGGCTCCCACTTGAGTGGCAGGGGCCCTAGCACTTGGACCATTTTCTGCTCCCTTTCCAGGTGCGTTAGCAAGGAGCTGGATTCGAAGCAGAACAACTGGACTCCAGCAGGCGCTGCTGTATGAGAAGCTGGTGTCACAAGTAGCAGTTTATCCCCCTGTGCTGCAGTGCCAGCCCAGAAGTTAGCTTTCTGAATACATAGCATATTGATATGCTTCAAAAATAAAAACTTCAAAAATAAGTATGTTTCAAACATCTCACTTTAACATTCTTCCCTGTCTCTTATATTCTTTTCTATGTTTATTTATGCAAATACAAGTAAATAACAACATAAGTTCTCAT